TCACTGAAAAGTAAAAGTTAAACGAGTCATATTTTGGGCTGTTCCCTGAGGCTTGATCACTAAAAGTATAAACAGTACAAATGAGAGGTTTGTTTTGGTAGTATTTTTACTATTTGATGTCTTCAAGAAGATAGTAGTTGTTTGTTGGTTCACCTTTAAAAGCATCAAAATGCCTTCCAAACCTTGAATCTTCTCTGTCTCTAAGGCTAACACAAAACAAGCAACACCAGGTAACCTTCAGTCAGAAACATATAGAAGGTTTGAGATTGCTTTTCCTCAGTCTTCCCTAGGACCTTGCTCCAAAACTTCCATGTTTATGAAGGCTTCAGATACCCTGATTGCCTTTAAAGGCTCTAACCAACAAACAAGTTGCCCCACAGTCTGATAAAGGCTGCTGCGTGGGAGGCAAGGTCCTGCACTGCTAGCCTGGGGAGGCAGTTAGGCTCATAGAAATGAGCACTGCTCAGCTCCACTCTCAATGAGAAAGCGTTAGGCCAAGTTTTATTATCTTGCATTTGCTTTCAGCCAAGAACATTCACCCAGACTGTTCCCACGCTTCGGCTGGCAGAGCAGTTGAATTGCAGTCCCAAACCTGTTTGTTTCTGCTCCTTATGGGGTTGTGAGTTAGGAAGTCAGAAAGTCTGGCAGCCCCCTGTCAATGCTGCTCGGTCAGCTCTGTGCTAAAACGTTTAGGATGTTTCTGGCAGTCCCCAAGAGCAACAGAGTGAGTGTGCTATTTGTTGGAGAAATCTAGAGAAGACTTAGAAGAGTAACCTGAAAGAGCAGCAGCCTTCCAGGTCTCTTCCATTTGAGTGGGAGTAGGGATATGATTTGTTTTGCAGAAAGAGGTGATGTCTGTCTGTAAAGGCGTAGCAGGGAACAGCAATCTTTGCACTCCCAGTGGGATAACTGTTTGGCATTTATGGACTTAAAGAGAGCAGATGGTCTAGTTAGTGTCCTGTCATTAAACCCGCACTTTGCCTCCTAAGCAAACTGTGTTCTGATGATGGTTCATACTCTTGAGCATTATGACTAGGGTAAAATGCACACTGTGTGAGCTGCTTATTGAAAATGCATGCTTTATATAAAGATGTCACGTTAGCAGTGCTGTATAATGTATATCTGTTGGTTTTCTTTTGTTTTTCAATAATTCTGCAGAAAGAGCTTCGTTTAGGAGCCTCAACCTTCAGGCTGAGTCTGTCAAAAGTTTTAACATGGGCCGAGCGATCAGCACGGGTAGCCTGGCGAGCAGCACCCTGAACCGGCTGGCCGTGCGGCCTCTCTCCGTGCAAGCAGAGATTCTGAAGAGGCTCTCCTGCTCCGAGCTCTCCCTCTTCCAACCGCTTCCCGGCTCGTCGAAGGAGAAGAACGAGAAGAGCTCATGGGAGGAAAGGCCCAGGGTCATGAGCAAGTCGTTTCATGATCTCACTCAGAGCCACATCTCCGTTCATCCTCCACGGAAAAATATGATCACCGCTTTGGACTCCTCCTCCCAAAAAATAGAGGACATAATGGGAAGAGTCTTTCAGCAAATGCCAAAATTTGACACTGGATCAGCAGCAGGAGCATTAAAATTGAACAAGTAAGAGTCTTTCTAAACACTCTGAAGTATCTGTGTACAGCTGATGTACATTTTGCATCTTTTTTTTTTTTTTTTGTAATTTGTACCATTATTTTATTACATTGATCCTTCCTTTCCCTCTCTCGTCTCTCTCTCGCTCTGTCTGGCTTTCCTTCTTTCCTTCTCCCCTTTAAGTTCAAAATCTCATGCAGGTTTAAGTAGAAGCCCTGAAAAAAAGAAAAATGAATCAGACTCATCATCCCTTGAAGACACCGGTCAAGCCTATGTTGTAGGTCAGCATGCAAAAAATACTGTGTTTACTAACTAACACTCAAAAACTGCTTCCTTTGTAATACTTTAATATAGTTCCTAACTGATGGTAATATTTTGACTTAACAAAGGAAACCAAATATCACATGCTAAAGTAATCCAAGCAAATTGCTTGTGGTTACTGAAAAAAAATGCTTCAATGAATCAGAAAATCCTCCTTCAGAGCAACAAAGTAGTCAGTACACAAGAATTGAAAGTATCAGCACCTCACCCAGAAAAGGTTGCTCCACAAAACATGTTCCATTTTGGCACTTAGAGGTGTCATTTTATTGTAAGAATTTCCTAATCATTTGCCTGTCTTCCTATTTAGTTTGCTATGAAATTGTCAATTTTGACAGGGAGTGGAGTTGATTTTTGGACGTTTGGCATAAAGCAGCTACTGCCTGTTTGCTTCGAGCGGAATTGCCACTGTGCTCTTGGGTTTGCTCTTACCTGGATGTAATGAATTGGGTATGAGTTTTGCAGTGCATCACATCTTTCACAAGAACACTCTGTAAAGCACTGAAAAAAATGATCATTCTCTTAGTATTCTTAGCTTGGACACAGATGGTCTAAGTAAGCACACACAGTATCCACATACATATACACATCAAAACACACACTCCAGAGTAGCTAGCAATGCTTAAATTAACTTGTTCAATTCCTGTATGTTATTTTTAATGTTTGTATGCCTTAGTTCTCTGGTTATATAGGAGATTCTCTGATTATATACTTGTTCCAGAAATGAGAACCTTGGACTGGAATCTCAGTTTGCTATTTGTGTGTTGAAAATCATAATACTGAATAATTATGAAATGTGAGAAAAACTTAGTGCAAGACATGAGTTTAAAGGAATAACTACACACAGTGGCCTACAAGCTCCTGCTGCAATTTCCACTGGCCCCAAACGACCTGTGAATCAGATGCTGACTTGAGGCCTGTGTTTTTTCAGCATGAAGGGCATAAGCCACTCAGAAGTGAGATGAAGAATGCAGTCTCTGTAGCGACTGCTTGTAGCCATTTATCCTGTGCATTTAGGTTTGCAATTAGTGGTCTTACACACTTAGCCCTAATCTCCTGGGCAGATGGAAGATTTAGAGGTGAGCATCAGGGCTTGAGAAGTCCATGACTGCTTTGCTAAGACTCTTGAAGTATTTTACCTCATTTATTTCCGTGATTTGTTACATTAGTTATTTCATCTTCTTTAACATACAGACATATTTCCTTGGCATTGGTGATGATAAAGAAAATTCTGTCTTCTATACAAACTAAATGGAGTAGAGATACTTAATGCAAATTTCTTGTTACTGTACAAACTTATTTATTACTGCAAAAGGTCTTGCAAGGCTACCTTTGATGTTGGTTCATTAAATCAGGTGTATTCATCCAGTCATGCCAGTCTTTGATTTATCTGGTTTCTTAAGACTCCATTAATTTTATCTGAAGTTGAGTGGTCATAAAAGCCAAGTCTTTGCCTTTGATTTATTTCTTTGCCTTTTGTATAGTACTTCAGTCAGTATGTTTTAATTGGTACTTAAGACAGTGCTCCCGTGTTCCACCAATTTCGTTTATTTCTTAGGTAGTCTTAAATCAGGTTCCTCTCCTAGCTGTAGGACAGGACCTTCCCTTAAACACAGAATTCACTTGTTCTGCATTGCTTTTGCGGAGAGACTTTGCATCTGTGAAATTTTTGTTACAACGATGTTAAAATTGGATATGGCCTGGGAAGATTAAACTTGAACATGCTGCTCAGAGTAGTAGTTCAATTTGAGGAGTAGAACTTAAGCATAAACCTAAAACCTCATGAATGCACTGAGCTAGAGTCTGATGGTGAAATTTTGGCTTTTCAGTTGACATGCTGCAAGCGGTGCAGAGCAGAGTTTCGACGCCAGAAAGAGAAATCACTTTGGTGAACTTGAAAAAGGATGAAAAAATGGGTTTAGGTAAGTTGCCTTAAAATTATTGAAATTATTAAAATTATTATTATTATTAAGTCTTGCACAAGGAAGCCAAAAGTAAAATAGACTTTCCTGTTACTTCTGGTGTTTATTGTAGAACTGAAGAAAGCAGTACAGACAGCAGCTGGTTTTCCAAGATGTTAATTTAGGATGTTGAAGCCCAGGTTTTCTTGCTCACATCTCCTTACTCACTTGCTGAGTGGTGTTAAACAAGGCTGTCTCCTACTTTTTTCATATATAAATTAAGGAGATATTTACAGCATGAAACTATCATCCTAAAGTTGGGTCCTTGATTTTTTTTCTTTTTTTCTTCCCTGCTTCAGATATGGGGTTTGTGTCCCTGTGCGCACCACACAGCTGCAACAGCTTTGAGGCCTTAGAGACCAAATAACATTCTGAAGCCAATAGGCACTCAGTACATTTTTGTTCTTATTCTCAAAATATCACTGTATGGAACATTAATTTGAGGTTAAAAAGAACCTGGAAGACAAGATATTTGGATTGCATTCTTTTTTTTTTTTTTTTTTTTTTTTGCCTCCTACCACTAACTTGTTTTTGTCATAAACCCACACAATTTTTCTCTCTATGAGTAACGAATAATTTGATATCAGTTTCACTGCAGGGAAGCTCTTTGAAATGTCCCTTAGGAGTTAGTTCTGTGACTCAAAATAGGACAATTTTCTAATTGAAATAATGGGAGAAATCTACACAATCATAGCATATATCTTAGACTTGAGCAAGGATGAGAGAAATGCATCTGCACCCCTTTTTTCTTCAGTGCACAATCCGTATTACTTTGCTGCTTTGAGTAGTTCAGTTTTTATTATTATTTTTTATTATGGACATTCTTCCCAGGTGTACCTAGTAGAATTTGTAGAAGTTGTCTGGGAGCCTCAGCTGTAAAGAACAAGCGTTTAAATTTTTAATACAGAAAATAGGGTTTGTAAAACTGTGTTCTCAAAACCGAAGCCAGACATTTAAGCAGTGAACAGTTGAGAAAATATGTTTTTTGTTTTTTATTTTCTATAACAGAAAGTGTATTTCTTCTGCAAATTTACCTATAACATCACATGTTTATATGTTTGTTTCTGTTGTCACAGCTGTCTTCTCTAGCCTTTGCTGGAAACTAGCAATAGGCAATTACACAAAACCTGGACTGCACAAAAAAATAACATTGTCAGATTTGAGCAAAACAATTTTTCAAGTGACTTCTGCATTTTAATTCTTGATTTATCATTTACTTTCAGGTGGACTTCAAGGTGTTTGGTTTTCTTTTACTTTACGCTTATTAGACCAGCTAAATTTTTGTCTTATCCGAGATACTTGTCCCGTGTTAATTAAAGATTCTGATAACTGATGTATTTCCATACTTTGCTTCTCTTTTTAACAGGCTTTCACATAATTGGTGGAGAGAAGACAGGGAAACTTGATCTGGGAATATTTATTCATTCAATTATTCCTGGAGGGCCAGCTGATTTGGAAGGATCTCTCAAACCAGGTGAATAGTGTAAATAAGGAGAGGTGTACATGTGAAAGGTCGGGAGGAGGGAGGAAAGGTATTTTTTTAGTGCCATTTTCATCTATGGCTGCAAGTGTCATTTAAAAATACCAGCCTTTAGTTATCTTCTTGATAGCTGTAGAAGAATGGTGATAGTTCTTTGTTAGACTCTTCGAAAATAAAAGTTTTTGTTTGAATTAAACAAAAATCAATAATTGAAGAAACAGAAGATTAAAATTACCTCCAAAGAAAAGTTGTTGTTTGCTATTATCTCTTGATGGACGCTTTGAAAATCTAATTTTTAAACCTTCATACCTTAGTTTTTTATTTCACTTCTGATTTTTACTTTTGTATTTTCTCTTCATAAGTCAGAAGATAGAAATGTGTGATGAAAGTCACAAAAAACATTGTAATATGGAAAAAACTTGTTGGATTTAAGAAGAAGTATTCATTTTTTTTTCCTAATTATTAGAGTTCCTTTTTCTAGCAGCAGTATTATTTATTCTGTGCCTTGTGTGTAGAGATTTTTCAGACTTGTGCTTTCACATCCTCACTGAAGGCTGCAAATGTAAATGTTGTCTTGCTGGGTTCTGAATAAATCTTTTTGCTCAGGCCACCGACTAATATCCGTGAATAGCACGAGTTTGGAGGGTGTGAGCCACCATGCAGCATTAGAAATTTTAGAGAACGCACCTGAAGAAGTGACGCTTGTTATCTCTCAGCCCAAGGACAAGCTTCCCAAAGGTATGGAGGGAAATATTCCTTACTGTTACAGATGGCCTTGAGCTTGAGTGCTCTGCCTTCTCTAACACCTTTTGTAAAGCACTTGTTCTGGGAAGCATTTATCTAAGTAATTGCATTAGCTTGAAAACACCATGCTTACTCGTCACCTCTACAGGTGATGCCAGCTTGTATCTGCTTGAAACGGGGTACTGGGAATGAACTCAGCGTTTTAAAGTCAACGTCGGTGAGGACACGCTGATTGTACCTTATTTGACAAGTGCTCCGCCTGTTATGAACTGATAATCCTTGTGTGGTTGTTCAAAGAGCTGAGGAATTTGTCCTACAGCAGATGTTTACATTTACTGTTGGCTGTCTTGTCTCCTCCTCCACAGCATCGTCTAACCCCGCGCACCTCCCCAATGGAACCAGAGGTTACTCAAGGCGGCCATCGTCGGTGCAGGACAACGAGGCAGAGTCCTCTTCAGAAGAGCCCGGCCACCCACGAGGTCACCAGAGGCCCCTCTCGGGGAGCTTGTCCGGCTTGTCAGGCAAGCGGGACGGAAGCCTGAGCTCCCAGGACTCAAGGACTGAGAGTGCCAGCCTGTCTCAGAGCCAGGCAGCGGGCTGCTTTGGCAAGCGCGCGAGCGGTAGAGGCCAGCAGGACGCTCAGCTCTACAGCGATCCCCTGCCCGGGCTCGCCAGAGCCAACGAGAAGAGAAGATCCTCGTCTGACAGTACCCGCGCCAAAACGAAAAGGCCTGGGGCGGTAGAGTCTGTGGAATATTCTGACCGGGGGGATTCTGACATGGATGAAGCAACGTATTCCAGCAGTCAGGAGCAACAGGCAGCTAAAAAGGCAGAGTGTATTTCATATGAACGCTTCCCACAAGTGTCACAGGATACTGAAATTAGCTGGCCGGCTGTGCGAGTAAGGAGAAGGGGCTGGGAGGGAGTGAAGATAACTAACTTAGTCGCCAGTTTAGCCCTGGTCACAAATCCTCTGAGTGTTACTGTTGAGTACATGTTTCCAAAAGCTAGGGCTTCAAGTCCTTGGAATGAGGAAAAGATACAGCTTTGAATTACCAAAGGACTGAAATGGCAGTAATTGGCTCACAAGAATCAAGTCATGCACTGTTCCTTATAAAATGATGTTTTTGTGTAAAAGTAAAAGCAGAAAAATCATGTGTGTGGTTTCCAAAGAATTTAAAATGGCCTCATAAGAAGAGTGTCCCGAATGAGATGCTTTCAGCTTAACAACCTCGTGTTGATTCTATAGATAATGAATCTATAGATAATGATAATGAGTTACAAGCTTGTAACTTGTCCAATATGGTCATAGTCCAGTTACTATCTCTATGGAAATTTTTTTTTACCTTCTCGTATCTTCTGGGATTAGCTTAGTATTTCAAGCACATCCTTTAAGTTCTTTCTAACAGAAAATCCGTTTTTTGTTGTTTCTTTTATTTTTTTTTTTTTTATAAAGGAATCTTCTCCAGGGAATACAGCGAAGAAAACAAATTCTAAAAAGATTGCTGCAACGCTTCTTAAACCTGGAGATATCTTTGAGGTTGAACTAGCCAAAAAAGATAACGGCTTGGGAATAAGTGTCACGGTACTGTTTGACAAGGTTTTGAGATGTTTTCTCTTTTTCTCTACTCCCAGCATCCTGTTAAATTCCTAAGCTACGAGGAAGCAAAGTATTTTATAGCACCACTGTTCAGTGTGTAGTTTTACTGTTGAATGATCCCTCTTACAAAATTTGAAAAACATTAATAGAAATCCGTTTTTGTTATCTCCCCAATAAGAAACCCTTTCTGCTTGTCGATTTACTGTGGAGACCCTGCAGAAGCCACTTAACAAGTGCAAATAGAAAGGACAGTCCTTGTCCCTTGTTCCCAAATAACCAGAAGTAGCAAATTTGCAAGGGAGTAGTACAGAGAGATTAGACCTTTACTGGTAGGCTTTGGAGGCCATGATGTGCCAGTTATTACCTGAGGGTACCTGTGCACTTCCATGAGTGCCATGTTCTGAGTTCTCCCTCTGCTAGATAAAAAGCAGAAAGTTAAGTTCATCTCTAGGTGATTGATGAGCAAAATACACAGTAATTTGACCAAAAAAAATACCACCACCAACAACAATTACAACAAGGAGCAGTTATTAATTGTAGTTCAAAGCTGGTGGGTTTTGTGGCTTATAACTAAAACAACACCAGCCTTTTCCCCTGTGTGACCACCCAGATAGGAGCATGAGTGACATGTAATTTCTTGGGTCTGAGAGGAGCAAAATGCAACTCTCTCCTTTGAGCACCCCAGTCTATCCAAAGTCATTTTGCTTTGTCCCATCAGACAAAATGTTTTCTGTATGGCAGAGGAAGAAGGCAAGACATTTGCAATATTTGGTAAGAAAATTTGGACTACCATACAGAAATCTGGGGTCCGTAGGCTGGGTCATTGCCTATTACTTACTGTAAACAAGAAAAATTTACTTAGAAGAATTTTAAAAGTGCTGATAATGTTTTGGAGCAGAGCTTAAAGTTGCCGATGGCTGGAGGCATAATGATGCAGGAGGTGTTAGCTCCTAAATAGCAGCCAACCAGCTGCACTCATTCATTGGCTTTGTAGAAAACGTTAGCGAGTGCCAGCAGTTGCCAAGGCTTCCCACAGGGGATGACCAAATGTTGTTTCCCTTGTCCTTTCCTTTTTCAGCCTCCTCTCTGACCCTTGGCCATCCTGTACAGGGAGGAAAAGAGCAGCTCTGTGTTTTAGGATTTCCCATGTAACACAGTGCACTCTGGCAGCACATGTTCACACGTTGTTGGGCTCCTCTTTCCTCCCACGTTTATGGGGAAGCAGCAGTAGCGCAGTGGTAGCTGTCTGAGAGCCAGGAAAACTAAGAGCCTCCAAGAGCAGTGCTGTTTGAGCTTGAGCAGTTGTTTTGCAGCTCAGACCTTCCAACTTCTCAGATCTGAGAGAAAGCCATGCTCTTTAGTTGGATGTTGCATCAGAGAGGGCAAGTTGGAGTAGGACACTGCATGGGTGTGCGCCTTCTGCTGTGGCCGTTGCTGCATGCCGTGCTCACGTGCATCCCCGAGCTTCCACGTGCATGCAAGCATGCAGATTGCAGCAGAGTATCAACACATTTCTGTCCCTCAAGGACACTGATTTGTTGGGGGGACAGCTGCACTGTGGTGCAATGTGTTCCTACAGCCTTCCTGCCCCATCTTTCTTTTGTAGCACGGGGGGACAGCCGCACTGTGGTGCCCCACAGTGCTTCCTGCCCCATCTTTCTTTTGTAGCAAGACCCATGGATGGGAGAACACGCCTTGTGTAACGCTTAGTTTTGGACAGTTTGGCTGTTGCCTGTACACGCCAGTAACCAGAGTGCTTCCTCAGTATAGCTTTCCTCGTGTGCCACTGTGCTAAGGGCTAAGCCCTCAAGCTGCAAAAAGGCTGACAAATCATGTTCTTGCTCTCCGTCTAGGGTGGTGTAAATACTAGTATACGGCATGGAGGCATTTATGTGAAAGCAATCATTCCCAAGGGAGCAGCTGAAGCGGATGGCAGAATAGAAAAAGGTACTGTTTTAGTTCTCTTGGTGGGCATTCTCAATGTGAAAAACAGAGGAGTGAATTTGACTAATTCTGTGGGGAACTGGAAGGGATACACTGTGGCCTAGAAGCTCAAAACTCTTTTTGGCCCCATTTGCTTAGTCATTGTCACTGCGTTTGCATGTGTCATTTGAAATATTGTCTCCCTGGAGTGCAACAATAATGAGCAATTCACAGAGCCACAGAGCTAATGCTAAGTGCTAGAGACTTGGTAGCTGATTCCGCAGCTGAAGAAAAGAAAATATTAACCCAAAATAGAAAGCGACTGCAGAGCCAACAGAAAACTCCTGCAATTTTGGAGAAAAAAAATACTAAATATATTACAGGAATTTATTTTTTAGTGCAACCTGTGTTAATGGAGAGCGCTGCTCAGTGCCAGCTGTTAAGAGAGAAGGGCTTTGTATTGTTTGTGGCCTTCTTGATGCCCTGCTGGGTAACTTGATACAGAAAATGGGGGCAGTTGCTACGGCTTTGCTTGTTTGTAAGGCAGCCCCCATGCCTTAGTGATGTGTAGATTCCCAGTATTGGGCTAAGACTTGTTTTTATTAAAGATTCTATGTTACTTTACAAAACATCGCTTTGATAGAGATCACCATCTTTGACATGGAGTTGTCTCAAAGCACTTCAGTTATAAAGTTCTGCTCTTTCCTCAGAGTGTGGGGAGCTGGGAGGATTTCCGTCTCTAACTGAAGGTGTTTGTGTGCCATAAATGTTTTATAGAGTGTGTTCTGCTTAATATGTCCTCAGTTATTTGTCATTTATTCCTAGGTGACCGTGTGCTCTCAGTCAATGGGATTAGTTTGGAAGGCGCTACCCATAAGCAAGCGGTGGAAACACTGAGAAACACTGGGCAGGTGAGCAACTCAGTGCCAACATCTTGGGCCCTTAACCCCTCATGGCCTTATTTGAAGAAACCCTTTTCTGACTTGCCGTTGGCAAATATCTCACAAGTCAGTCTCTGCATGGTGGAACTTCTCACAGCCTTTAAAATGATGAACAATAGAAGGATATCCAACCTTAATGATTCTGTGATTCTGTGATATGTGAGGGAGGTATCTGGGAAGTTAATAGAATACTATACAATTTAGGACCCTGGCAGGTTAGAAACAAGTGTGTACTCTAGTTGGTACCATTTCCATGAGCAGTGCAAGTTAACAGGAGAATGTTTCGTTTCTTTAGGTGGTACATCTGCTGCTGGAAAAGGGGCAGCTCTCAGCAGCCAAAGTCCACGCTCCAGTAACGCCGCAGTGCACGCCGCCGCATGAGCTGGGGCAGTGCGAGCCCCACGAGAAACCAGCAGCCAAAGCTGCAAGTGCCAAAGACTACAGCTTCGTCACTGCAGGTCAGATTGTGTAGGAAAATTGTGTGATGCTTTAAAAGCGTCTTCTAGACTTGGTAATTCTTCCCTTGGTTATCTTCTGTGGAGTAGAAAGAAAAACGGGAGACAGAGGAGCTAGAATTTTTTTCCAAACTCCTGCACATAATACAGTCTCTGTCCTTGTGCTGTTGCATTGTTTTGAGAATTTCTTTTCAGATTTCAGTAACTCAGTTACTGTTAACTGTTTCCTCTTTCGCTGCTGTTTGATGCTTGCCAATTTCTCCAGAAAAATGCTTCTCTAGAGGATGCTTCGCCTTTCTTGCAGGACAGGGCTGTAGCAAGGCTGCAGTAAGAGGTGCTAGCTTTGGTGCTATTCGAGAGAGATGCCGAAAGGAGGCTGAGGGACTTCCACATCCTGCTGTTCCTGTCTCGATGAGAACAGATAAAAAACGTGACAGCCACTGTGCTGTAGGAAATGATCCGTTCCTGTTCCTCTTGCAGAGAACACATTTGAGGTCAAGTTGCTGAAGAACAGCTCAGGCCTCGGGTTCAGTTTCTGCCGTGAAGACAACCTCACCCCCGAACAACTGGGCTCGACAATTGTGAGGGTGAAAAAGCTCTTCCCAGGACAGCCTGCTGCGGAAAGCGGGCAAATAGAAATTGGGGATGTCATTTTGAAAGTGAACGGGGCATCGCTAAAGGGTTTATCCCAGCAGGTTTGTGCTGTCTACTGTTGATCTGGCTAGTGGAACTCTTGCTGTACGAATTCTGCAAGTTCTGGGGTCTGTCTCTAATACTGAATCTGCATCCGTAGGAGGTCATCTCCGCTCTGAGAGGAACATCTCCAGAAGTTTCGCTTCTCCTTTGTCGGCCCCCACCTGGGATACTACCAGACATTGATCCCTCTTTGTTGGTAAGTCTTTTCTTTAAATACTTGGTCTGGGGGATTCGTCAATGAAATCCATCTTGAGGTGGAAAGATGGGTTGGAAGCGGGACTCAAAGCTGGTTCCTGTGCTAAATCCCTCGAGAGTGTCTGGTAGATTTTATAGGGATGTGAAAAGGAGTCTCTCTCAAATAGAAATTAGGTTTTTCTGTAACACATGTAAAGAGATGTATTTAAAACAATTTTAGAGTATTTTAAACCATGGCCATTTATATATATATTTGTGCATCTGTGTGTCTATGTATGTATTTTAGCAAAAGAGAATTGGGATAGAATTTAGAGAGGAGTTCACATCTGTCAAGTGGGGTTTCCTTAATAAAAGAAAGAAAGTATGATATAGAAAATAGTCTTCAATTTGTGAAGCTATTTTGGTTCATTTTTTTTAAGAGTTGAAGTATGGTCACAGAAACTTAAATTTACAAATACAAACTTTAAAATATAGCAAGAAAAGGAGATATGCACATGCATAAAACACTCATACAAAAGACTAATTCTATAATGAACTGTTTGTAGTCCAGAATTATTTTAATGAAGTAGTAGATATAGTAAAAAAAATAAACAGTTTTGCTTAAGTGTCACAGACTGGTGAATACACAAGCATGAGAATTTGATGAGTAGAATCATAAATGATGCTCTAGAACTTTGCAGTTTTTTAAATGATGCATCTTTTGAGGTTTATGGGATTACTGACAAAATTGTCCTCAATTTAACTGTACATCACCATTTGGCTGAACACTCCCCAGTCTGCGTAAATTAGGTTAGTTTTTGTTGTCTATTAAACTTTTGGCTTAAAATGTTGCCTGCTTGACTTCTGCATGAGTTTATTTTGACTTCAGCTCCACCACAATCATCCTCAGTGTACTTTGGCTGCAAAGGATTTTGGGGTAATTGCTGAGAGGGCTACTGGGCAGTGTCAGGACATCTGCCAGCAGGCTTCCCAAGAGTCAAGCCAAGGATATATTTGTTTTCCTTCCATGATTTTGCAGTTGCTTAGCAGCATACGCTTTTAAGTTCTGCATGCTTGTCATGGCAAATTTGTCCTGAGCTCGGTGAAACCGCTATGATGCGTTCACATAATTGAGGCAACATCAGAATGGAAGAAGCCATTGATTAAGTGGGTTTAGTAATTTTATTCAGCCTTTGCATTTTTTTTTCCTACCGTGAAAACCACAGTCTGATGCATTGAACGTCCTTGTTTTCTGTAGACACCCATCCATTCACCCCAGCAAGTATTTCCAGATGTCAGCAAAGAAGTTACTGGTCCATCAAATGGAGAACAAGGCGACAGCTCAGATGAAAATGAAACTACTGATCCGAGCAAGAAAATGCTAAAATCTCCTTCTAGGAGAGACAGCTACAGTGACAGCAGTGGGAGCGGTGAAGAGGAGGTGGTAGATTCCTCAGCACAGATGGGCCCTGGCTGGAGTCGGAGTCCTGCCCTCTGCCAAAGCTCTGATGAAGCTGTGACACAAGCACCCGGCCCGTACGAGACGCGCGGCGGCCACGAAGAGGCCGTTCGTACCATTCTGTATTCTGCTCGTGAGACTCCTAGCAAATTGGAGTCTGAGGACAGGTATGTTGCTCAGAGTGATCCCTGGGGGGAGTTGCAGGGGGTGTTTGCTAAAAACTTTTTATTGGACCTACTCATGGAAATTCAAAGGCTTCTTTTTTATTTATTTTTTTTCTACGCTAAAGTCAACAATTATTCAAACATTCTTTTATTAGTAACAACCATATTGTAAGACTGTCCAGTAATACTAAAAGCATTGCAAATTTTTATTGTGTTTTTTTTCTTTTCCCGTAGCAATCTGCCACTGGAGTTGCCATTGATCCCAACCTGTAGAACTGTTCCTGATGTAACCACATCGATTTTAATAAATGACTCATATGTGAGTCCTGTTCCTGAGCTGACTCCACACCTGGGAGGAATGACCTTGTTGAGTCAGCTGGAAAAAAGTACTGAAGAATATGAACCGGTAATTTCCTATTCCTATCTTGCAGCAACGTGAACGTACTTATTGCTGTGGCTGATGGATGTTATTGGGAGCAACTTAATAGAAGCCATGCATATTGATTTGCAGATGGAATCGTTGGAGGTTATATTTGCTCTAAATGGGAGCAGGATGCAGTTCTCACCAACAGCATTCACATCCTTTACAGTGTGCCAGCTGTAAACACTGGACTATAACTGTTCATACAAGTGTTTGCAAATATTTTCTGGCCGGCCTTGTGGGGTTTATGTGGCATCACTATTTCCATTAAATATGAACTCCCAGCCTGTCAAGGCTAAATCTGACTTTAATTGTACATGCAGAATTGGAGCGTGTTGGAATTAGTTACATAATGAGTTCCTCTGCGTGCGGGTTCATCCATGTGCTTGTCGATGCACACACATCTGTTTTGTGTGTGCTGCTTCCATCTGGAACTTGGCATTAAATGCCTCAGCACCTTGACAACATTATCGGACTCAGCTTAGATACTGGGCTCTTCTTTAATCCTTGTTAAGCTTCTCTGTTGTTGTTTGAAGATCATTCTAGCTGTCTTCGTTTCTTTAAAGTGTTCAGGTTGTTTCAATCTGTCTACATTGTAAAGCGCTATTTTCTTCCCTTAGGAAGTCGAGCTCCAAGTTACCATGACCAAGTCAGAAAAGGGCAGTCTGGGCTTCACAGTGACCAAAGGAAATGATAACATTGGCTGCTACATTCATGATATTGTTCAGGATCCTGCCAAAAGTGATGGGAGACTGCGACCAGGAGACCGCCTTATAAAAGTGAGAGAAGTAGCATTTCCAGATCAGGGCATTGCATGAAAAGGAAAATTTGGAAGATTCAAAAGAATCTTCTTGGCTAACATATTGTTAGGAAGCAAATGTGGAAAAAAAAAACCCACTGTTGAGTTGAACAGCTAGTTATATTATGTAATAGAGGTGTTCTTAATTATAGTATTAGTTTCTAATGCAGTGCAAATTTGCATAGGAGCTGCTAGACACTGCAAGTAGTCCTCATGATGAGCGTAACATAGGGCATGGCTTTGAGTCATTGCTAAATCAGGGCTTTGAAAAACTTTTTCTTGGAAGTCTTGAAGACTTTTTTCTTAAACTTGGACAAATATCTACTAGGTTGGATTAGGTTCTGAGTCAGGCTTTCAGAGCTTAAAAAGGGATAGCATCTCTTTTTTGTTGTTGTTTTTTGTTTTGTTTTGTTAATAGGAACAAATTATATGCCTTTTGAATATGCTTAACATTTGGATTGTGAACTACTTTCCTCATTTGTGACACTTGAGTTACACACATGTGTCCTGTCTCTCAGGATAACTACATTGAGCTACAGCTGTTGTCATATGGGGAATCTGTTGTTTTGTCGTTTAATGTGAAATGCCATCAGTAGGAGTGATAGCAACTCTATTTCCTCAATAACACTAACTGTACTGCTTGGAGCGTAACTAGGAGATTTCTGGTGTTTGTATCTTGACAGGTTAATGACATGGATGTCACTAACATGAGTCACACAGATGCAGTGAATTTCCTCCGAGCCGCCCCAAAGACTGTCAGACTAGTGCTGGGACGTGTTTTGGAGCTGCCCAAGATGCCAGTGCTGCCTCACTTACTGCCTGATATTACGCTGACATGCCATAAGGAGGAGCTGGGTAATACCAAATTATATTACTTTTGGCTCTAATGCAGAATGTTTTTCTGGGTCTGGTTTTGAAAGAAACAAAAAACAAGTTAGTTGCAAAGAAAGAACGTAATTTCTCTTGTTTTTCTTCCTGCACAGGTCTGTCTTTATCAGGAGGGCATGATAGCCTTTACCAAGTTGTGTATATTAGTGACATTCTCCCCAAATCAGTTGCTGCCAGAGATGAGAGTCTCCATGCATTAGATATTATCCATTATATTAATGGAGTAAGCACACAGGGGATGACTCTGAAAGAAGCCAAAAGGATGTTGGAAACCTCTTTTCCTAAAGTGGTGCTCAAAGTGACCAGGTATATTTTGGCAGTAAATGCTTGCCTGTGATTTTGTTTTCCTTGCATGTTTGCATGAATATATGGATAAAGCATGTTGCTGGCATGATAGCTGATCCACCAGAGTGGTGGTAACAGACATATTCTTCAGGGCTGACACTGTGAAGGCCATGTATTCTCAGTTTTTGTACTTTCACTTCCATGGTTTGTGGAGCTTACACATTTTGAATTCAACTGGTGAAATTATCCTTTCCTTTAAAACACTCTGCATTTTGCTTTTGCTTGTTCCTTTTTTTTTCCCCACTCCACACTGTGTACATTGAAATAGTTATCACCAAGACCGTTTAGTAAAGTAGTCATAGTGCTCTGGATGTGTGCTCAGTTTTGAGACAAGGAGGGGGCTCCATTTTCAAATGCAAAGTTCTGAGAGTTGTAGGTTTTGAGCTCGATCCTAAAACTGTGAGATTAAATCTTTTGTCAGAGTCTAGCATGAAGTAGACTCTTACGAAATCTTCTAAACTTTTGGAAATAAGAACCTAACTACTCACTGCCTCCAACACTGCATGTTCTAAACACCCCATGTTAGAAATAGCGCTTAGGTGTCTTACTGTCAGACACTGATGTGTGCATGTCTGACTAACATGGTTTTATTTATTTATATTTTTAATATAAAATTGTCTGTAAACATTTCTTTTTGTAGAGATGGTCACCCTGTGCTTCCAAAATCCAAAAGTCCTGATAGCTCAAATTCATGGTCACCGAAAGCTAACGGTAAGGATTGCTTAGTCACCTATTTGAAGTGGCACTTGCATGTTAGTTGAGATTCAAGGAACTGGTAGAGGCCTTAAGATTTCAACCTAGTCTGGTTGCTGTGCTCAAACTCTGCATACCAAGGTCAGCTCCAGCACATATTGCCTGGAGCTTTCTCTAAAAGCTCCACTAAAACACATTCTACAGTCATTCCATAGTCATTTGGGATTCCTCATTTCTTGTTGTTCAAAATTTTTCTCTAATATCCAGCTATTAGTATTTAGTCAGTGGCAGTGCCCAGCAACCAGACCAAAATGTAACTCATTTCACAATATAAACATCTTGTTTCTTTAATAAAAATAATCGATGGGGATAATTTAATTACTGTGAAAATATCGCTGTTGAGTTGTTGTCTCTTTCTTCCCTCCTGATTTCCCCCACCACCTTTCCACCACCCCCCACTTTTGTCTAGGCTGCTCCCGTGGCGATCACTGTGGTAAAACAGAAACAGCAACTGATGCTTATGGGCCCAAGGTAGGTGTTGTTCTATTGTGTGCAATTCCACTGCCCAGAGAAAAGATACTGCGTACAAGTTGAAGATAGGAAAAAGGCAAACAAAAGAAACCTCATGTTGCATTACTTCAAATGTGCAAATTCTCACTGTCAGTATGTACAAGTCACCAATGTGGTCGATGTAAATACACAAGTCTTTGGAACTGACCTTCCCTTTGCTTGGAGCTGCACTATAGAAATACTATGTCCTTATGAGAAAGATGCAGGACAGGGATTCAGAAAAAATTCTTCCCAGTTGCTGCAGATGATTTATATTTTACACTCACCAGAGTGTTGCATTTCATTTTCTCTTCAGACTTTTCTAAGAACAGGTGGGATGGGGAAGAAGAGCATTGAAACCTGAATGCTGTATGTTTTATAGAGGATATATAATAACAAGTGAGATGCTATAATGTGTTCTCTGGTAGTAGTTGCTTATTCATCTCCATCGGGTGTGTTTTAGATCTTCAATTTTGTTTTTCTCAGTTTCACGTAAAAGTTGTAATGCACCTAAAAACTACATAATTGTAGGTGGAATTCTGCCCTTTCCAGCCAAGCTGTCTCCGATATGAAATTACTATGATTCTTTTTTATTGTTTGATAAGTAGTCCTGTGTTTGTTAAGGGTTGCTTGTTACTAAAATAAAATGGCAATCTCCTAAAAAGTTATTATTTACTGTGCTTTGCTCTGTTAGGTAAATGGCAATGGCATCCTTGAAGTGTCTCCTGCAAATACGGAAACTAATATTCATCAAACAAAAGGATTAATGAATCTCACAGGGTGTAGAGATGTCCCTTCCCTTGGCTTTACCAATCAGATATCAGATTTGCCTAAGCACAGTGACAAGTCAGGTAAGAAGAGATGTGCCCAAGGCAGCATTATTCAGTTTTTAATTCACAGTACAAGAGAAGGAAGGCAGTAGCACTGCTGAATAGGCTCAATGGAGTTGATGTTAGGCTGACAGTCAGTTTTAGCAGCTCATCTCCAGGTGCTGTGCTCTGCTGGAGAAAGAGAAATGAGATCCCTTATGGGAGGGAAGTGAAGGAAGAAGATAGTAACAGATGGAATTTATGCCTTAAAAAGATGATCTTGGAGTTCTTCTTGGTGTCTGCCCTCTTCCCTCCCTCCCCCGCCCCGTTCTCTTTTGTAAAAACTCCTTGTTTCATGCCATTTCCTTTTAGGGACAGAGATTCCAGATGATGAGTATTATGATGAGGATGACCACAATGAAGTCGTTCAGTATCTGCTGGATGTTGTAGATGAGGAAGCCCAGAACCTTTTAAATCGCAATAATGCCACATCAGAGGCCCAGACCCTCCTGCATCTCAGGAACGCTGCATCAGATGATCATCTGCCAGGTACTGAGAGCCATGGAAAAAAGAGGTCAATAGCAACAAAACACCTCCTGAAACAAGATGCTGAGTAAGCATTTAGCTTAGTGAGGTGAGGGTTTCCCAATGAGAACTCAGATGAATGTTTGCTCCATCCAGTGAAGTGTGGATGCAGCTCAGAAGTGAAGTTCATTTGGTAAATCTGGATTTTGCTTTCAGTAATCTGGGAAAAATGCATCCTGTTGTAGCTCACTTTTGTGAGCAAGATGAATGTCTAGATGCTTGGTTTTGCATAAGCAGCCGGGCCTCTTAAGTTTCACTGTCTGAAAACTGCAGATTGCACTGGAAATGCATGGAGATCTCCCCAAAACCAAGCCGTGTGTCAAGTTGTGCCATCTCTTACGTAAGCGTCAAAGCGCTCAGCACCTTCTTCTGTTCATATTTCATTCTTAAGGGTGAATGTGCATCTGAGGTCCCCCTGCACTTTTTATTCTTGTGGTTATGTGAGCATTGGAAAGATGCACCCGTTCTGAATGGAAAGGAGGCAGAAAGAAGCCTTGTCATTTAGAAACCTTCACCTAACAATATTTTTCTGTATCTTCTGTTTTTGTTTCTCTTAGAGATGAATGGGAAGCTGATGGAAGACAAGTATGAAGACACAGACTGTGATGTTTTAGAAACCTTCACCTAACAATATATTTCTGTATCTTCTGGTTTTGTTTCTCTCAGAGATGAATGGGAAGCTGATGGAGGACAAGTATGAAGACACAGACTGTGATGGATCATCTTTACCTGAAGACTTTTCAGAGGTGAGATGGCAAGAAGCTGGTAGGCCTTTGTCTGCTGATTACCCTTTCTTGGACACTTCCTTTCAAATTATTATTTTCTTTATTTGCAAAGAACTTGTTGAAGTAATCTTATGTGCATTGTTGATGAAACTGTCTTTGTCCGTGGTAGCTGTCAACACCATACATAAATTTATTTTTGAGGTAATGTCTAATTATTCTATGATAAATTAACTATGCAAGAACTGAGCAGAGGATTAGTTCAAGCTATTTCTAATGTATGAGCCAAGAGCTGCCCTTTTTTTTTTTTTGGCTGAGTGAGCTTGGTCCCCTTGAAATACTCTGTTCTGTATTTGTTCACATAGTTTAATAGTGTGGATGAGTGTTATATTGATCTTACTGTGCTTTGAACTATTTCTTCCCCTAGCCAACACACATAAATGGTTGTGAAGAACATTGTGAAGTACAATGTGAAGTACAAGCTACCCCAGAGAGGTAAGGCTTTCTTTCTGGTGCTGGTTGAAAGCAAATGCATACAATGTGGAAGCTCTGAAGAGGGATATATCATAATACAAACAAACCATAAAATATCTGTGCAGTGTCTTTCTGAATTGCTTTCTGTCCACTCTTGTTATCCAAAAAGTCATAATTTGCCTGAATATTAGTCAGTTATTGTATGATTTACTGTACCCTGCCTGAATCTATTCCTTAGGCATGTGTTTGTAACAAATAACTGGGAAATGTGTACGGATAATTTTAGAGAACTTAATTAGTACAATGTTAATTGGAACTTTGATTTGAGGAAAAAGAAGAAAAGCTCTCATGAATATGGTCTTAATTTTTCATCTTAACAAGCTTCCTTCTCCTTCATGTGTTTTTTTTCCTGGTTGTGGAGCACAGTGCCCCCATAGTCTATTGATCCATCTGTTCCAAATAGTGTTTAGAGGCTTTTTATAAGGAAAACCAAGGATAAACCTGGCCAAGTGATTATCTATTCCTTCGAGCCAGCTATTTCAGTCTTTGAAATTCTTGTCTCTGTGCTAGGTATTTCTAATTCTCAGTCTTAAGTAATGCTTCAGACAAGGTGCATATACCTTTTCTCCTTTTGATTAAATCTTGGGGAAGCTTGGTTAAAATCTTGGCATGAAAAATGTCATTATAATAAGTAAATATTTGATATGATCACCATCATGTTCAACAATCCTAGAAAATTTGCTATTGAAGGTAGATCTTCTAGTGCCTAGGTAGTGAATTTGGGAAAGGTGCAGTTGTGTTTTAGGATGCAGTTTGGCTGCTTTGACTTAGAAACATAGTTGCAATGAAAGGTCCATATCTTCCCAGCTGTTCCCCTGCTGTTATCTTTTTCCAGACCCTCAAGATCACCTGTATGCATCCAGTCCAGAACACTTCCAATTATAACTTACTTTCTGGCAATGCTTTGGATTCCAAATGTGTTGGGTATCTCCAGATACTCTCTTTTACTTCCATTTCTTGTCTTTTTAGGTCACCTCCACAAGCTCCTTTGAGCCAAGCAGATGAAGATGAAATCACATGGGGAAGTGATGAACTGCCAATTGAATCCATAAACCCAGAACATATACATAAAGGCAAGAGCTTCAATAAATAATCTGTGCAAAATTGAGGATCACATTAAATACACAGAATGTCAGAAATGCATTTAAAAATGTCTTGGATATGCTTTGAGGGTCTAATTCTGATAGCTACAATGGGAAATAAAACAGCTCAACAACCCACTAGAAAGGATCTCTACAGCTGAGCGTAAACCAGTTTATGTTCAGTTTATGACAGTTTATAGGAACAAGTGTTGGCACTGTTGGATGTGCAGTTAGAGTTGAAGCCAACTGTGAGATTTTCTTCTGTATTATCTATTCTTCCATACTATATACTTGACAACAGCTCTAACAACATGAGATCATTTGTGGTGTTTGACTGTGATCAGGTCAATATCTGATACATGCTTGACCTATCAGATACTCCATCCTTGGGACACAATATTTTTCCTTTATGCTTAGCCTCATGATTTCCACTGTTTTTCAGTTTGGCAGAGTGAAATACTGCTCTATGTGATGCGTTTGGCAGAATTTAGCCTTTACTTCTTGAAATAGAAATTTAATCTCTTGAAATTCTTACACAATGGATTTGTGTCTGTACTATTCATTAAATGAAGAAAAAAATAGTCTTTTGGCTAAGTCAGCAGATTTAGGGCACTTTGAATTACAGTACCAGAGAGACTTTTGGTTTATCAATTCTGTTGTGTTTTGGAGGAACACTGAAGGACATTTGCTTTGATATAACCAAATTTTATTGGAAAACAGGGCAGTTAGTACAATTATCACTTAAAATACATTTTGACATGAACTGCTAAAAAGAGTCACAGGCCATGCAGTTAAGTGCAGTGTTCTGAATTCATCCTTGTGTATATTTATCCAAATTGTCCATTATAATTACACAAAGGATTAAGCTTGATGTGTTTGTTTCAATGTTTTTATTGGAACTTTCAGTAAGTACCCTTTTTATTTCCTGGAGTGACCAAAGCTGATTTTACTTATGTACTGATTTTGCTTTATTTATTTTTGCATGTTGAACAAATGGGTCATCTGTATAGTTCCTAGGGTATATAGATGGATCCTAGAGGTCGGAGGCAGCAGAAAGTGGCAAAAGGATAGTTTTCCTCAAGGGTGCTTTATCAGTCATGGCTTCTTATAAAAAGTGTAATAATGGTATATGAGTTGGGCATGCCTGACAAGAAAACCATATAGAGCATGACAAAGAAATGGTAACACTGCACTGCTCTTGACATTTCTGAAGTGTAGCTATTTATGTGAACATGGCAATCAGTCTTGCTCTTCTTCCAGATTGCCCTTTAGTGACAAATGAAGACATCTCTGCACTCCCTACTGTGAAAGTGGTTCCTGGAGGCAAGTATACAGGGGCCAGGTTAAAGTCGGTCATCAGGATGTTGCGGGGATTGCTGGAACAAGGTGTCCCTTCCAAAGAGATTGAAGTAAGTAACAGTCTGTCCTTTTAAGTCCTTTTCTTTTTCTAAAGTTTTGGTTTTTAACTATATGAAGCAGTTAGAACTGAATGGTTAATTCATCACTGCTTTAAGCACTGCAGCTCTTCAAAGGAGTGAAAAATCTTATTTTCCAAATGTGTCTCCCTTCCTATGCCAGCAGCTCAGACATACGATTAGGTTGAGCTGCATCTCAATTCAGAAGTGTGTTACATTTTATTATTTCTGGAAAATCCTTAAATGAGTATGAAGCTAACAGACACAGAGAAGATGAAATAGCCACCACAAAACCCAGCTGCAACACAGGAGAATGTGAAAACAGTGGGTTTTTTCATTTGTTTGTTTTAAAGATGTTAACAGCCACTTTAAACCCCTGTTTTGGGGGAGAAGGAGCTAAAGTATTTACTGGATAACAGTTCCGTCTCCCTCACTGCTCCCGGCATTTCCCCACGTTCTGGGTTTTCCTAACTATGTGAAATGAGATTTGTTCTGTGAGTTCTGTTAGCACCTGTTCTGGGGGGAGAAGGAGCTGAAGTATTTACTGGATAACAGTTCCCTCTCCCTCACTGCTCCCAGCATTCCCCCGCATGCTGGGTTTTCCTAGCTATGTGCAATGAGATTTGTTCTGTGAGTTCTGTTATTTTGCATAACCACATTAGTGTTTTTCCTGTTTTTTGCCATTTTGAGACTGGGTTATATAACTGCTCATAACGTTTGTTCTTGTTCAGCACATTTTACTAAATATGTAATTTCTTGTTTACAGAATCTTCAAGAGTTAAAACCTTTGGATCAGTGTTTGATCGGGCAAGCAAAAGAGAATAGGAGAAAAAACAGATATAAAAACATACTTCCATGTAAGTCCCAATCTGATGTTCAATGCCATTGTTTTGTCTCCATCCATAGGGCCTGAGGGATTGGATCTGAAAAACACATTTTGATTCTCAGTTCTAGTTCTGTTGCTGTGTTGCCCTCCCCTCCCACCCCCCAAAAAAAAAGTGTGTCTGCTGCTCATTTTCTAAACATGCAAAGTGAACATTCATAAAGATTTCAAGAACAACAAACGAAAGACTAATGTACTAAGTAGAGATGGATATTTAAAGATTTTTTTTCAGTTGTTTGAGCACATCCTACTTGAAACAGGATGAGATACATGCGAATGTCTGGAGCCAGACAGCTTTCTTCCACTTTACCCATGTAAATTTGGTAGAACAGATATATACACTATTGTCAGTAAGCTTTCTGCATCAAAACTGCATCTGCCTCAGCTGATTCTGTTTGTGTTGGGTTTGCAGATGATACCACTAGGGTACCTCTCGGCATCGATGGGGGATACATCAATGCCAGCTTCGTTCGCATGCCGGTAGGGACCGAAGAGTTTGTTTACATTGCGTGTCAAGGACCCCTGCCTACGACTGTAGCAGACTTCTGGCAAATGGTTTGGGAGCAAAACTGTACTGTGATTGCCATGATGACTCAAGAGGTTGAAGGGGAAAAGATCAAATGCCAGCGCTATTGGCCAGATGTGCTCAATAAAACTATCATGATAAACGATAGACTCCGTCTTGCACTTGTAAGACTCCAGCAGCTGAAGGGCTTTGTGGTCAGAGTGCTGGAGCTCGAGGACATCCAAGTAAGTGAATCAATTTCTTGTGCATGCACAGAATTTATTTTGAGAGCTCACATTTTTGCCTTCCCCTTTCTCCCTTGCCTGCTTTCAGTCCCCATGTCTACAGTGAGCTGTAGCTTGGGGGTGGTTCTCCCTATCTGGTGATTACTATTAGGCAAAACTTCCACGCTAGAGCTTGTGCTGCCGTGTGACGTGTGCAAGAGAAGGCCCTTGGTCCAGGAGGTGTTTTAGTGATGTTAATAAGACATTAAATGTGGTTTCCTAGATGCCTTTGGCCATAGGAACAGAAAGATGTCTAATAATTTACATTAGACGGTTCATTACTTTGTGAGATTAGCGCAGTTTACACAGTGAGTCTCGTACTATTTAATTACCCGCTTATTTCTTTCAGTGTAGCTGGTTGTTTCCGTTGTTTTATTGTCATTCAGAATGCCTGTAATTTGATCTGGGCAAATCCTCTCTCCTGTGACTGTTTCTTTTAGGAGTTTACCCGTTCCCTTTCTTCCTTTGGGTGTGACATTTTGGTGTCATTGTGTCCTTAAACCTCAGACAGGGCAGGTACGGCACATCTCGCACCTCAACTTCGTCGCCTGGCCTGACCACGACACCCCTTCGCAACCGGACGAGCTGCTCACGTTCATCTCCTACATGCGGCACGTTCACCGAGCGGGACCCATCGTGACGCACTGCAGCGCGGGCATCGGGCGGTCGGGGACCCTCATCTGCATAGACGTTGTCCTAGGGCTCATCAGCAGAGATCTTGATGTGAGTGCCTGAGGGGAGGGACTAAGCCATGCTTTGGGCTTGACTGAGCTGCGTTCCGGGGAGGTATTCAGTTATTTAAAGAGCTGAATCCCAGCCTCAGTGACAAGGTTACTTCTGTGTTTAAAGCAGGTTGTCAGAGACTCAAGGCGTGCAAATACTTCAGCCTAAAACAGTGGCCTAACCGAATAATTTTCTAGCACAACTGAAGATGCATTTTCTGTGATCCACAAGAGGGTGCTGCTTTTCTTATGCCTGTGTCTTTCAGGAAGCTGACATGGCAAAAAACCCTTTGTGGATTTTCAGAGCAAGTAAACTATCATGCTACACTTAGCACAGTAGGGCCTCTAAGCACTTCCTTAAGTTCTAGACATACTCCTGGGGAAATTAAAAGCATTTTACTAGACTGCGCCAAGGACCTCAATTTTTTGCACAATCGACTCTTAAAAAGAAGCTGGAGAGCCAGGGGAAGTATGGAAGAAAGAGAAGGAGAGTATTTTAATGAAGGGGGGCTGCATGCTTTCAGCATGGGGGACATGGGGCTCATGCTGGTAACCTGCCAAATGCTTACAGGGTTTAATGAATTTTAATTTGTTCCACTACTGCATGTTGAATATACTCAGTCGGATTCTTTGGTGCAGTGCTGGGCATGTTTGCTGTGTGTGCCTGGGTGTGTGTCTCTTGGGGACGTTTCATTTGCTGCTGTTTGTCTTGGCAGTTTGACATCTCAGACCTCGTGCGCACCATGCGTCTGCAGCGACACGGGATGGTTCAGACAGAGGTGAGTCTGGCTTCTCCAGATCCACACTGCAGGAAGGAACCTGGAATCACATTTCTGATGTGCCGGGAAACTTATTAAAATCACATAATGATTATCTTGGTGTCATCTAAGCCAATGCTGGTGTTGTAAGAATTAAATTGGAGGCAAACTGATGCATGTTGGTCTGTATTTAACAATTACATCTATGAGCAGTTTTTTATGTACTCTGCTCTCTTGATCTGTTCTGCTAAGGAATGAGAGCTCTAGTCTGCAAAGGAAGTGTTAGAGAAACCTCCTTTAGGCAGGTGTTTCAGCACAAGTTAAGTGATTATTATTATTACGATTATTTAGAAATGATATAGATCTAGTTAACCCTACCTCAGGTTTGGACATCTCAAGGGCCCATATTTGCTGAAGCTGACATTGCACATCTCTCTATTGTGTGTTTTATTTTGTTTAACTTCCAAAACAGTATTGAAGCCAAGCGCTGTACACCCATGAAGAACAGATGACAGTGAGTTGCTTAGTGTAACCATTGGTTTGATGTGCCCTGTGATTTCCTTTCCCTTGCAGGATCAGTACATTTTCTGCTATCAAGTTGTCCTGTATGTCCTGAATCACCTCCAAGCTGAAGAACAACAGAGAGGGAAATAAAATACTGATCCTGAGTGCTTTTAAAATAAGGAAATGAGGAAATCGAGAGGCTCTTGCATGTTGTGATTGTTCTGCCAAATACTGTTCCAGTCGTTATCTTCAGTTGCTGTCAAGTGTCTTTGCTATACAGTCTATCCATCGTTCCAGTGAAGGTATATAGTATATGGAATATATGGGGTGTATTGAAAAGGTCTAACTCCTACAGTACCACTATTATCTTCAGCCAATGGACTCATATGTGAGAGTTTGTATAACAGTAAATAATATTTAATAAAGTTGCATTTTTTGCAGCTTTCTTAACCTGTGATAAAGTACTGAAATAAAGATATTTTAATTAAAAAAAAAAAAAAGAAAAAAAAGAAAAAAAAAACTCTTGTAATGACTCCTGCAGTTTTGCAACTGCTTTGGGTAAGTTTTGGGGTGCAAGGATACAAAGCAGTATTTTATCCTGGCAAACTTTATTGCAAAGACATTTTATTAGTATATTTTTAAAGCTTGTTTATGGCACAGAATTTTTCAGCATTTCAGTACCGTTAGGGATATTTTATAGAAGGTCTATCTTTTAAAACAGTGTTTACATTTTAAAAGATGCCTGTTAGTATAAGAAAGGTAGTGAATTTTTACTGGAAGTACTGCAGTTTATGTTTACTTGGTAGTGTTTCATGTATATATTTATATCCTTCTACAGAAAAATAAAAAGCTGAATTGTTAGGTGTCTAAACTTATAATTGATTAGGCATCTCCACTCTGTAAATAAAAATACACTTAAAATATATTGATCGAAGGGTCTGGATATTTTTGTGTCCTTGTCACTCATTTTTCAGAGGCCTTGTCACTGGCCTCCCAGGGTATCGTTCACTATGGTGTTGTGCATCTGATAATTTGCTATACGAGGGCCTGGGTATCTTCAATTTTTCTGTGTCCTGCTGTGCTACTATGTTGATTGGAGAAAAGCTGCAGAACTGTTGAGTTCCTTTCAGGAGAGCTTCTACACTGGGATGAAAAGAAGAGGATATTTGCTATTCCCTCTTTGTTTTGGGGCATAATTGGGCTGAATCATGTTTTTTACCGCTCTGTTTGTATTTGGGTTACCGCTCTGTTTGTTGACACGACTGTCATCTACTCTGCTTAAATCAACCAAGTTTCAGGCAGGAGATAGAATATGAGATTCTGTCCCAGTGTTTTGCTAATAATAGCAACAGTTTATTCTGAAATGAAATCTTCCTTTCATGCTGTATGGGAACCATTAGTTGCAACCCGGCAGCCCAGGACCATTCCTGGTTTGAGCAATGTTCCTGTCCCAGCTGACAGAAAGGATTCATGTCCCTTCCAGAGCTGAAGCTCACGCCATCCTCTGACTTGTGCTATCAGGAAGTGTACGGGAATGGAGATTTTGTAGCATTCTGCATTTCAAAGGAAGAAATAAGTTCAGAGACTTGTGATTTTTCAAGACTGAACAGTCTTCAAAGTATTAGCCTGCAGTCTTCTGCTATCCCAAAACTGAAACTCTCACTCATCTTCATTTTATAGTACTCTAGGTAGCAATAGCCTGAGTTAAAAAAGGAAAAGATTTTTTTTTCACTTGTCACATTAACATTATCTTATTTGTAATTATATTTTATAGCAACAAATCACAGCAAATCTGTTTTGATATTCCCTCTAGCATGCCAGCACAGCTGGAAAGTTATGCCATATTCAGAGCAGTGTAGTTTGGTGAAGGAAAAGGAATTCTGGATAGATAGAGATGCAGAGGCAGATTGACTAGCCATGTCATGGTACCTCTGGATGAAGGAGCTTGAAAGAGAAGAGAAGATTTTCAGGACTACAGTTGTCAACAGGCAAAGTAAGTAATCACAGTCTGATACTTTACTGCTACTTCTTGAATATAAATAGTGAATGCATTTGTCTGCTCTTTAGAATTAAAAAAAAATCTAGATAGTAAGGTAAAGACAGTTAAATTCTTCCCTGTAGAGTTTCATGACAAACAAAAATGTACAACCAGGACCTGATTTTGGCATAGTCTAGCTTGGTATTGTGCAAACGTTTTTGCAGCAGATAAAAGCTGGTGGGGAGTTTACATCAGTATCAGATTCCAAAATTTGCTTTGTATCCTAACAAATACGAAGATCTACAGTATAGCCTGGTTAGATGGATATTCTTCAGGTTCCTCAAGGTCAAATTTAGCTGTTATAATTATCTGAGAGGATAATTAACCCAGAGGTCCTGGGCTCTGTAGTACCTCCTCTCCTTTTAATGGTGGGCATAGAAAAGTTGAAGATAATTAGCTTGACCTAATCTTATCTCCCGGAAAATTAAAAGCAAACAAACAAATTACTCTGAAACAACCTTTTCAGTTTCTTGGATTACTACCCTACCAAAGTAAGCATGCTCTTAGTGAATAAATGGACACATCTATTACGAGACACTTACTCTGCTAGTGTTTAGATATACTATTGACCTCCATCCTGACCCCCACATCTGCAGGAAGTCAGCTGGGAAACCTGTTAAAAAGAAGAGAATGGCTCATTTTTTCTAGCTAATCAAGTCAGAATTAGCTAGCAGAAGTATATATGCTTTGCTTCAGCCCTGTGCCATTAATTTCACTGTACGATTTTTTTTTTCTTGATGCTATTTGCCTGTGCAAAAGCAAGGCAGCAGCCTACAACGAAGTAATATCAGTTGCTCCTTGGAGACTATTTTGAAGATTAATTACTCTTGTTACTTGAATGCTTCCGAGCAGCTTGTTCCTACTTCCTTTTAAACCCGTCTTAATGGCTACCTGAGGGGGGGAGGGCAGAAAAAGTGCTTGGGAATGATTGAAAGGCCTACTTTGTGTATGGGATGCTTTCCTTCATCAGGTATCCAGGAATCTGCAGGAGAATCTGGAAGGCTGGTTACTAAAGCCTTTCTGTAGGAAGAACTGCATTGTAGTGAGGTTGTAGTGACTCTTCTCATGTGCCATAAGCCAGCTTAAATGTGCCTTGCAAACCGTGGAGCAACGGAGCAGCTGGAGCAGGGCGATGATGCAGGGTAACCCATGCAGGACAGCATTGTCACCAAAGCTTAGGAGGCTGGAAGAAAAGGTGACTTAGAGGCAGCAAAATGCTCACATCTGTAAGTGCTTCTGACTTTCTCCACGTTCAGAAATACTTCCCTGTGAGGAAGCCGAAGCAGCTTGGCCCTTTCAGTATGCTGAAGTAGTGCAGTCTTTTCACTACTAATGACATAAGCAAACCTCTTCTTAAAATATATAATGTTGTCTTTTCTCTAATACCTGGGGCAAGGCAGAAGCCCAAGAGCCCAGGACCGCGTTGCGTTGGATGAGTGGGCTGTGCTTTGCTAACATTAAAGAAGGGCGAGTTGTTATCAAGCTGCAAGTCTCAATTTGTTGGCTGTGGCATCTGCTGATAGACAAGTCAGAACATACCCAGAAGGGCAAAGATCCAATGGTTTGTTGCTGTTATAAGCAATAAACTTTGTTGCTGCTCTAAGTCTAACTATAAAACCGTGGACAAAGCTGTACCAGTCTGCCCCTAAAGTGCCTGAACTCAGGCACCGGCTCTTGCCTGGTGAAATAAAAGGGGCCTGTAATGGCCACACTGTCTTTCTGTCTCAGTGTCCTGGTGCTGCCGCTGTCGATCTCATGCGGTAGCATCATTCTAATGCACTTCACTGTGACTAAGGTACTTTTGTGCTTCTAAGGATCTCTGACAAATAATGCACTTCCAACTACCTGCACTAGCTGTGAGCCCAAAGGCAGAAGACATTCAGATACCTCTGCATGCCTTTCTCTCTCTTTTTCCTCCCTCCTTCAGCTACAAGTCTCCAACTCCTAGAACATGGCTTGTGCCTTTGATAATAAGTGAATCCCACAGTATTGAGATTAGTCTTTGGTCCAGCAGCTACCTTTTCCAGAACTAGAAGACTGTTTTGCAAACAAACAAAAAGCTTAGTTTATATGCTTAATCATAGAAGGTATATTTGGAGTTCAGGCATTCTGCTTTCACCTTTCCCTGGTAATGTATTTGTCTGTGATCTTAGCTGTGATTCTGCCTCCAGCTAAGCAGCAGATTGCAGTGCAGGGGGCAAGTGGTTAATAACAACTGCAGAATGTAATAACTGATTTGCAAAGAATTCTTTAAGGAGTTTGATGCACTCTCTAATCGAGCAGTTGAGTCAGAAAACACTTTTTTTGTTGCTAAAGATCAGTTGAAGCTTAAAGCTCTTAAAGGCTTTTGCCTTGAAATCTCGACACAGCTTGAACTTGAAGCTTTAGTAACAGAGCCTGAATTTGGTTCCAGCTCTGTTAGGCATTTGTGCCAAATGGCTGAAGTCAGAACTGAGCCCTTGCAGCATTTGGCTTAGAGCAGGACCCTCTGTCTGTGTGGGGTGGCTTAGATGTGCTGAGCAAGCCAGCAGGAGCCTCTCGGAGCTAGGGAATAAAGCAGAAGAGCGCTCGCTTATCCACTGTGTGATGGCATTACTTTCCCCACAGCTATTGATGCTTGTCAAGGAGATAAATAGCTCATACAGCCGGTCTGCAATACCTATTCAAACAGTTGTGGGTTTAAAAAATACTCTGGCTATGGGTGGTCAAGAGTTAGGAGTCCAGTAGAACTGTAGTAGTTGTGGTATGAGCGGAGTGCAGGTCCACCTGCAATAAATGAAACCACAGAGTAAGGCCATATCCATTTAATTCAGTGTTTTTGTCAGTGTCACGGTCAGCAATACAAGCAAAACTGCCTCAAAGCTGCAATCTCTTTTTTCCTGGTCTGTTCCACTTCCCACCTCTGTCATGGCTCATGCGTACACATGAATGGCTGGAGCAGCCCATAGTTTCCTGTGTCTTTTTAATTCTCCCCTTTGAAACTGTTCTGGAAGTGAGAAGTCAAGAAATAGGTGCAGAGCTGAAGGTGTCTCTGCCACTGCATTTCCATGATGTTAGAAGAGGTGAAAGTTGCTGAGTCCATAAGAGAGCTCGCTGGGAAGAAGTGGGCAAGATGCTTGTTGCTGCTATGCCTTCTCCTAGTCTCTCCAGGCTGTGCTTTAGGTGCTGATAATCATAGTTGTAGTGTAAGGAAGAGGACAAGAAGCTGCTGCTTGTGCCAGTAGTTTTGCCTCAGCTCTTCATGTTATGAAAAACCAAAAGGAAAGCTTTCCAAA